TGATCAATTAGTTACGTAGTTATAGCTGATCAAAGTTAACCGTCATTTACACTAAATGTACTGGGACATCCGGGCTAATTTTTCGAAAAATACCTTTGGTATTCCGAGTACTTACCACGTCTAAGTTTGTAATACTTTTCTTCATTGGCAACCTACTTTAAAAAGGTTTAAAGTTATTTATGCAAGCGAGACATTCAAGAAAATCGTACGGGTGGTGGCGGTGGGGGAAGCAGAAAGCGCGGCCGCTTCGACCTGCTCGAAATTGAATCGGCGAGTTCAAAACCGCGATGCGCTTAAAAATGTTTAAAAATTAGCCCAGATGTCCCAGTATATTTAGTGTAAATGACGGTTAACTTTGATCGGCTATAACTACGTAACTAATTGACCAATCAATCTGTTTTTTTTTAAAGAAGCGTATTTCCAAGAACTTTTAAAACCTGCTTTAAAAAATTTGATTTGATTGAATATTCACAAAGTTATTCTAATTGTTTATAAGTACAAAAATTCGAACAGTGTTTAAACAAGCGGCAGAGCTCTCCTAATTGACGGATTAGAATTTTTTCAAAAAAGTTTGAAACCTTGAGAGCCCTTCTATATAGGATTAAATTTTCAAGTATCTAAGGGCCATGGTTTTTGCTGTGCAAAATTTTTGAAATTTGCAATTTTTTTTTCAAAATCTGGATTGCAATATTATTATACAAAATCTATAGAACCGATTTTGATGAACTTTGGTGTAATGATTCTACATAACATGAAGTTTTCTTGAGCCAAGTATAAAAGTCCTGTACCCAATTTAAATACCCCAAAAAAATTCCCTAAAAAGTATTGTTTTTTAACCCCATTTTTGCGACTTTTTCGATTTTTACCATAATAGTCATGATTCATTCGATTTGTAACTAGTCTTGTTTTGTAAAAAATTTAATTACAAAAATTTTTTCCTCTTCCATTTTCGCCTAAAACCAACTCTTGAAAAGATACATAATTAAATAGGAAGAAAAATATGACATTTTTCGATTTTTTTTACATATTGTGCCGCCAAAAATTAAGCCCACGTTTTTTTTATGCGCATAGAAAAATTTTCATTTCTAGTGATATTTGAAAGCCAAAAAGGCAAAAATCTCCGTGGATATACGATTCACCCAAATATGGCTTTTTGAAACAGATACCGTCTGGACTACTGTTTCTAGATGACATTACGTTTTGATACATACCCAAGTTCATGAAAGGTACTGTGAAATCTACGGCTTCCTCCCTGTCAGAAGTAATAGTGAAATCTGTTATGGCCAGATCCGCTCTCTGAAATTGAAAATATTAAGTATTTGCAGTTTCAATACATGGTGTGAGAAGTTTGACTGCCATTATTTCAGCATGATATAGAGTAATCATAAATGAACAAAAAAGTTGTATATTACAGGGGCGTAAGATTAACAGTTTTTTAAATACAGCGAGTATTAATATTTACCAAAAAGCAAAATTCAGTAATTTTTAAACACACAAGTACAAAACAAACTACAACACATGCTCAAAATGTCCATCACCATTTTCGATGCACGCACGACACCTTCGGATCCAATGTTCGCGCACTCGCTGGAAAACGCCTCAAGAAAAGGAAATAGTGGTACTCAAAAATCACTCAGACAGAGTCGAATTCCAGATACCAACTGAATTGCGTATTGCTGGACAGCTTAGTACCTCGTGTTTTCCGCCGCGCCGTTGTCACATTGCTCGATATGAATTTTATCGAATTTTAAATTTAAACATTTTTTTTTAATTTAATTAACACACAAACCATGTAGTTCTTTCTATGAGCGATTGTGGTAATAAAAAAAAAATAAAAGATACACAAGCGTCTAATAATATATTATGGGAGTAAGTACTCAAAATTGGAGAGTATGTAAAACATGTCGAAATATGGCGGCCCCGAAGAGAGATACAGCCGCTGGAAGGGGTAACTCAGGAAACAGTTTTTAAAGCATAAATTCAAAACGGTTTAATATTAAATCACGAAATTTTGGGGCTGTATTAGTATTTATATGCTTAATAATCGGCATAATATACAAATCAAAATTGACTACAGGGGCGTAAGAAAATACGGGACCATAGGGCAAACTTTACAATTTTCATTTGTACGCATTTTTTTACTTCCTGAACCGAAATTATGAAAATTTATCATATTTTGCATAAAAAAGGCACTCTTGTTAGATTTTAATAGCTTGAGCCGTATTCTAGTAAAATCCATTTTAATAATTCATTACGTGCTCAAAAATTCCTGCTGAAAATAAATGTATCAAATTGTGCCAAGAGAAAATTACTATTTATGACACTTAACAGAGGTGTCAAGTATATGTCAATTACTGATTAGATTACGTACTCAAAATTCCAATCTAAGAAATTTGAATTTAGGTAATATAATAAACATAGAATAAACTAAATTATTATAGCCCTATAATAATAAAGTACTGAGGCCATTAAAAAGAAGTTTAAGTAGGTGAAACCTAAAATTTGTTGTTAAGCGATTGGTAATAACCTCCCGCACTGACCCAACCCAAAATTCTTCCATTGTACAATAGCTGCATAGAGGGTGTTTATTTACTCTCATCTATGTAGTACAACTCGAACTCATGGCCTCAACAGCAACGATTCCAAAACAAACGTCTTAAATTTCTAGCCCACCGAAAGATTAGAATGTTTAAATTGTATTTCTAACAAAGAATCTCGACTTACATATTCGAGAAGGTCTCCAATCATTCCAGACCATCGGTGTGGTGGTTTCGGATCTTTTGCTCCGTTCTGTTTGTCTTCTCTCAATATGAAGGTGTAATTAAAGCCCTCCATTTCAGATAATTTTTTAATTAGGTCGATACCAAAACCCTCAAATCTGTCATTTCCTGTTAGAGTTTCGTAGGTTTCCTTGAGCATCCCATAAGGATCTGTCTGGAATTTTATCAACCTTCAGTTTAAATTTGTTGTACCAATTTTCGAAAATAATAGTAAAGGAAAACACGATCATTTTTTTACATTATAAATAAGAATCAAACGTTAGAAGTTTATTTTTTCCAAAAAGTGTTTTCAAATATACTTACTAATGTTGTAATAACTATAAAAGTTTTATTCTTCAAACTATCACCATCAGGTACTGGTTGCTCTACTGATTTTTTGGTAACTGAAAGACCATTAGACGTATTCCACGTGCCGATGTCTGTTATCCCTCCTTCCCTTAATTCGAATAAGTCTAATTGGAAATCGCTTCGGAACCCTTCTGTGTTGAATTTTATCAAACCCGTCAGACCTTCATGGGAACTCTGTGTAAAATAAATATGTGCAATACGCAAAGAACTATTCAGTGATATACTTTACCAAACTTTAAAGCTGAATTATGCCCCCAAAACATATAAAAATACTTGTAACATTTTGGAATTAAAAAATTACAGGGTGTTTACTAAAGAATAGACCATACTTTAGTGCCAGCTGCCTTAGATGAAAATAAAGTTAAATCAACTTACCCCAGTACTATCTTTTTTCTTTAAGAAGTTATGGCCCCGAGAAGGTAGTGTTTTATTTCATTTTTTTACGGTAATTTATTTATTATTTGGGTAATTTTATTAAAATTTTGGAAAAGTATTTTGCTTTAAAAATGCACCGTTTTACAGAAAATAACGTTTAAAGTTATTTAAGTTAAAGTTAAGTTAAACAATGTAGTGGCAAGCACGCTCAGAACGCCTTTTATATTTATCGCAAAAAACAAGCAGATGTTTATAAGACAAAAAAAAACAACATTTTCAGAATTTGAGTAAAATTACCCAAATAATAAATAAATTATCGCAAAAAAGTGAAATAAAAAATTACTTTCTGGTGCCTAACTTCTTAAGGAAGCAAGATAGTACTAAGGTAAGTTGATTAAATTCACCTTACTTTCATACAAGGAAGCTAAGCCTTATAGTATGGCCCAATCTTCAGTAAACACCCTGTATATCACACTTATTTAAATATCTCTTAAAAAGGTCGATGATGATTTATTTAACGCGGGCTAATGACTTTACTAATGAAGGAACAAAAATTTGCTGAATTCTGCACTTTCATCAGTCCACGTCAAGCATCTGAATAAAAATGATATTTTTTTAATTTCAACAAGTCATGTTGATAGAAACTTTTTAGTTAATTTATTACAATTAATGTTTGCAGGGTATTTAATTAAGAACTTGTATAGTAAACATTATACAGGGTGTTTCAGAAAGACCTCCCATAAATACAGGGGTGATAGTACTACAAAAAATAAGAATTTTTTGTCTTACGAACTATATGTCTATCTCCTCTTGTTTTCGAGATACAAAGCCACAAAATAAATTTTTTTAATAAAATTTTTACGAAAATTTCCAAACGGTGCGAAATATTTTTATGAAATTTGGTATTCCGGGGTTTTTAAGATGCCAAATACGCTGGTCTAATTATTTTTTGCATATTTCATATAGGGCGCTAGTTATGCTACATTCCTATTACATTTTAAGTTCTAATTTTTTTAAGGTTAGGTTTTTATCATTCGGGCTCCAATTTCTAACGTATTCAATTAAAAGCCTTTTTTCTCGAAAACCGTCCATATTAGGAAGTTCTAACAAGAGTACATTATTTTTAGAAAATAAAATTGTACATCAGAAATTGGAGGGTAAATGGTAAAAAACCTAACCTTAAAAAAATTGCAACTTAAAATATAACAGGAATGTAGCATAACTAGCGTCCTCTATGAAATATACAAAAAATAATTAGACCAGCGTATTTGGCATCCTTAAAAAAACCGGAATACCAAATTTCATAAGAGTATTTTGCATCGTTTGGCAATTTTCGTAAAATTTTATTTAAAAAATTTTATTTTGTCGCTCTGTATATCGAAAACAAGAGGAGATAGACATAGAGTTCATAAAACAAAAAAAATCTTATTTACGGGAGGTCTTTCTGAAATACCCTGTAAAACTTAGTTTGAGTTCAGTTACTTACAGTTTTCAATAAGTTAACAATAGTG